AAGGAATTGACCATCGTGTTGCGCAAATAATGATAAATTTCGAAGCAAAGCGCCTCAGAGGTGCAGAGGTTTTTTGTGCACATGAACCGATTCTGGATAAAACAGCACTGCGGATGCGCAGGTCATTCAGACCCAGGGGTAATCATAACGCCCTAGCCATACGCAGAAGTTTGTTGCTTTTGACGAGGAAAGTGTAGCGAAATCGAAGATGTTAGTTCCAAAAAATCATAACGCAAAAGGATAGTAACAAACCTCGCAGGGTTCAGGGCGGCTACTGCCGGAAACAGTACAAATTCTACAGTATTTTCCAGTTTTAATTCGTTTATTACTACGAGGCATTTGTGGCATGAAGCCAGTTATTTTGTTGTCCATAGTTTCTCGCGCCCCAGTTCGTTAATTTGGCCGAAAAGTGTTTTTGAAAACACTATCTTTGAAGGACCACTGTGTTCAAATATCCATGATATTTGGAATCCGGGAATCCATCGAACGAAATCCTAAAGGAACTCACTGTTACAACTGGCGACATGAAGGCTTAATTTATCCTTTCTCTGTCCGGTCGATTCGTTACATTTTTGTCTTTGTAGTAGCTTTATGGACAATAACTTGAGTGAAAAGCATTATCCGCAAGTCTCGACACATGTGTCAGTATGGACGTTCTGTTTTCGATCTGGCCTATTTTTCTAGAACAGCCATAAATCTCAATCGCTATTCATCTTCAGGTGAGGGGTGGTTGGCCTGTAGTGATAATCAGATCAGGAATGACTTTCCCGGTCCTTTCCGGAATGCGGCATTCAGAAGAACAGGATGTTATTCCAATGACAGACTCAACTCAACTTGTGCGCCTGACTCTATTCGAAAGTAGGCCGAGTAAAATTTGCAAACAAACCGATCATATCCGAAATAAGCAGTGCAATGTTTGAATAAAATGGTTGACGTAAGCATAAGTGCTGCCAGAGACGAAAAACGGCATAGCCTGCGCTGCTGATTTAATCATTTGATGTATAAACAACGTACTTATTCATAGTGAGTAGACATTTTAATGCAATCTCAATCTCCACCGTTCGAGAACTCGGACGGTCACAGATTTGGCCAATCAGGATAACCAGACATCAACTGACGTGAAATGAGTGTAAAAACCGACATTCATCATTTAGGAAAGTCTCCTGACCTTGGTTAATTATAAGGCTAATTTACTTAACCCAGTGGAATGAAATAAAAGTGATCGGATACCATTACCAAGGGGAGACCGAAAACTGCTCGCTTCCGACCCCCCAGTTTCCATCCTACTGTCATTAATCCTATTGGCACATATTTATCAAATAAAAATTTGTGACGTCTATCTTCGTCGCTCGCCAAATATACTGAATTATTACCTCGTTAGAAGCATCCCTCCAGAAGCAGAGATGGGTCTGCGAATTTTGCAGAAGTATTCCAGCGGATGAACATGAATCATGTTAATATTCACTGTTATCTACCTTCCCGCTAACTTTGACTACCAATATGAAGTCGCCATGGGGTTGAAACTACAGATGTTACTATGGTGCCCATAGTACAATAGGCAGAGCTAGGAAGTTTGTTACAGATGGGGACGACGTATGCTGAAAGTGCATCCACTTCAGTCGCCGGGGTTTAGGGGGGGGGGGAGAGAGAGATAGCGTACGAAGTTTGTTTCAAGAGAACAGGAAAAGTCCCTATGAGGGAACTTCTGTGCAATAAGTGCAGCAACTGCACACTTTAACGCCGCATGAAGTAGATATTTAAAGTGGTCGAGCGACTGACCTGTTTCCTATTTACGCATCCAGCATTTACATACTATGCTTTGGGGATATCTCCCTTGGAGTGGTTCGACCTCCGGGAGTAGAAAGCAAGTGGGTAATCTGGGGGACTTCGTCGACCACGTGGACACGAACCACGCATGGGGGCCGTATGTATATGTATGGAATGTTGACGGAAGGCCTAAAATATGTTTTCAACTCGAAAAGATTACATAAGTAGAGTTGTGCCGTTACGTCCAGTCACGTCGGGATGCCAACATTTAAACGGGTATTTTTCCATTTGTCCCTGTACAAGCTTAATACCTAAGTAGTATGGATTTTTCCCATTGATTTTCGATGTTCATTTGAATTCAGCTATAGTCCGTAGAAACCATGGACAAAATGTTCTTTTCTGTACTCGTCTGGTAGCAAATTGCGTCTTCTTCAAGTGTTATACTTGAAGGTCTTGAAAAAATTTATAATCACGAGTTTTCTCAAGACCGTGAAACGTTCAATCATGAGGCGTCACATCAGGACGTTTATTGGTGGTGTTTATAAAGTGGACAACAAGGACGACATCTATCGCAAAATTTTATAAGCCCTACGTGACGCCTTCTTATTGATGTATAGAAAAACATGATTTTTCCTACATTGAAGGCATGCAGTTTGTAGTTTTGAAACCCTGAATGCAAGTGTAACGACAGGCAAGGTTTGAAATCATTCGGAAATTTAGGACGTTTTTTAAAACCGAATAATGCTTTTTCTTCAAGCATTTGTACCCAAATGGACACAAGACGGAATAATTTTGATCATCTTTAACATGAAACATATTTGAACTGATAGGGGCTTCAAAAATCAATGCTAAAACTCGCCCTACTTAAGTAGTTATTTATTGACAGAGTGCAGTCTGTGCAGGCGACCGGAAGGAGGTCCGTTAAAAAGCTGGCATCCCGACATGACTGAAATATCCTGCGACTGTACCGCACGGGTATTAATATTACAAGCCCGCTTAAGTAATCTTTTCGAATCGAAAACACATTTCAGAATTTTTGTCAACATTTCATGAGATAGCACATCTGCCGTATATTTTCGTTTACTCCTCTCCGTGTGTCTGCTACTCGGCGCTTTTGTACCCTGGTGACTGTCATCACGTGACACGCGCGTGACAGGCGAATACCCCAGGGTCACGAACGCGGTATCAGGACGCGAAATAACCGGCCTATGTACGTCGTTCCCTGTATCATGCAGGCTAGAGAACGATATCGTCTGAGTTTCGTCCCCTCCCAGGCACGCCGTAAGGTACACTGACCTATCCAACCGATTGATGTTTGCAATCTGCTCCACAGTCTTTCCAGCCAAGTAAAAGAAAATTAAGAACGCGGGGAACACCTTCACTTGAAAGACTGTCACAGTTGACGAATTGTGAGCATTTGCAGATATACTTTTTTTAAATCAAACGGTCCGGGTGTCAGTGTTGAAGGAGGATATTTTCAGTTCACTGACGCTAGCGCATCACCAAATTAAATGCAGACGATAAGACATTCAAGGATTGCTGCTGAGGGGCAGGGAGTGCCAGTCCGAACTTCGGTTTCGACGATGCCCAGCAGGCTGAGAGCAGGCGTGGTCACTTGCGCGCGAATTAGGTATGAGACTTGCAGGGCATCCATCTCACCCCCTCCTCCTCTCCCACATGAGCCCCGTGTCTAGATACCGTCAAGAAGACCAGAGGTAGGAGAGGGCGCAGATGGTTGGCACGGCCAGACCAAACCCTGGACGTACCCCCACATCCCCTGGTCCCCAACGAATACTTCACGAGAATTTTATACACCATAAAGGCGTGGAGACCTTGGACTGCCAAGGACTATACCGTGTTGGAGAAGGTCCAGAGACGGGCGACCAAAATGACACAAGGTCTGGGAGCGCTGCCCTATAAAACCAGACTGCCAACTCTCAACCTGTTTCCCCTTTCCTACAGGCAATTACGTGATGACCAACATTTCGCATTAGCAACGGCCTAGACTGTTGTTTAGATCCCACTGATTATTTCCTTCAAGATAACAAGCACACTCTGCGCGGTCATCCCCCGAAACTACGTGCAGGGAAAGCAAGGATCAATGGACGAAAGTTCTTTTTCAGTAACAGAGTGGTTGCAGCGTGGAATGCCCTGCCTACCGATGTTTCTATCTCCTCCTGTGTGAATTCCTATAAGTGTAGACTTGACGCGTGTCAAGCGTCCCAGTTACCAGCTTCGCATCCACTCACATAACCCGGCACTAACTTGTACGTGTTTATACTACTTGTAATTAGTAAGTAACCGTTAATGATTATTGTTTTTCGACTGACTGTGGCTGTCCGCGATTATGTACAAAATTCCTTTTTCACCTTCCCACTTATCAATGTTTTTCTCCGACAACTTGTAGCCGATAGGGAGTTCAAAGGCGCTCGTCTTTATTTCCCTTAATAAACTGACAATGAAACTGAAAAAAAGAGAACTAGGGGGGGAGGGAATGCTGGGAACCCAAACTGACGCGGCGAGTGCTTGCAATTGGGCCTACAGCAACAGCCCTGATCCAAAATACACACTGACTAGGACTTAGATTCGAACAAAAAAACAAGGGCGACGGTTGACGCGGCCGTGATGGCCCCGAGGCGTACCGCTATACACGGCTCGGGTCCCACAAAGTGGGAGTGCCATAGAGGCCACCTTGCGAAGGAGCCATTGCAGCCTGACGCTCAAACACTCTGTCCGCCACTCCACATAGACAAATATGCTGGGCCGACGGAGAGGTCCAAGTTACCCCGTCAGTTGGCAGCCTTCCAAACCACGGCTTTTAGCGCACCGTAATAGCTTCAAGCGCGTCAGATTGTTTATAGTGAGGAAAATGTGCTGAGTCGTCGACCTCACTCTCCCTTCTCATTCCCAGGCCCCAGTCACAGGCCGAGCCGGTCAATTGACAGGTGCGGGGAATGGACGCGGTAGATGCCATATCCAAGTGACCTTGTCTGCGCGCGCCACATGCACGACCTGACCCCCCCCCCCAAACAAAAGCACCAGGATTTCACACAGCGGAGGTTGAGTGGCGTACATCTCACATGCGTGAGATTGGTGTAGGTCACGTTAGGAAGGAGTCGCATCAGTCTGGTCCTCAGCCCACCAGTCCGCAGCTCTGGAAGCGATG